GGAAATTGAGCATAGTTGAGCAACTTAAAGGTGGTGTAAGCATTATTGTATATAATTTTAGGATTAGATTTTTAGTTTAGTCTGTTTTAGTATATAATAAACTCTATTATTTACATGGTTATATGGTCAAATAAAGCTATTTTACGCATTTAATTGCTTTTTAGGTCCTTATCCAAAAGGTAAAACGGGACCCTATTACTAAGACTCCTACTCTACAACATAGGCACATGTTTTTTTGCCGTATTCAAAGTTAATGGTACGGAACCCTCCGTGTGCGAGTCCGACTCGCACTTGGCCAGTTTTATTGAGAAATGGCAACGAATCTTTAAATCTAACGGTGTTGAAAATGGCCATGGGTGGTGATTGTCACTTAACATCAGGTGAATCACTTGCCATTTTCGTTCATAAAACAAATTCATCAAAAAAAAATCATTTAACAACGCATAAAAAAATATCGTGCTCTGAGCTGTCGTCACTTTAATGGTCCGTTAAAGCCGACGTAAAAGCGATTACAGTAGTGTCGATTCTCCGGAATGCGTTCAACGCAAATCATTCCAGATTATCTGAAACAACTTTAATAGCTTTGAAGGTATTTGTTTTTATTTAATTCGCTCAGCAAAGGTTAGTTTTATTTTGAAGAAGGTTTCCTGGCGATTCGAGTCTTCTTTTTGTGGTAATACTGTAGAGAGTTCATTTACCAGACTATGGTAAATGGTGTATTAACACTTACTAATGGTAGCCTAATGGTTGAAATTCGGCCATAATTAATTATACGTAAATATAAGTAATATTTTTTATTGATTTGATGTATGTTTTATGAACCTCTCTTAAGAATAGAATGCGTTTTCGATAAAATTGTAATTTCTATTGTGAAGAAATGTGAAATATGATAACGTTGAAACGATTTCGATTTCCCGTGGCAGCTGTTAACATACAATTTTCTTGTATTTTACATTATCATTATAAATAATAGAAAAGGCCCCTTGTCTAGACAGGTTTAAATTTGGGAACCAGAAATAAGTTTTTGTCACAAAATTTCGGATACAAGCATCATCAAATCACCAATTACGTAGTTTACTTTTTAAAATCGAGTTGACTACATAGCTCAAAGAATTTCAAAAAGTAAACATTTCCGAAGCCGATATATGTTTTAAACTCAACCGTTATGAAACATAATTTCTATAGTAGTAGCTTAACATGGTTTAAATTTACAGTTTTTCAAGTTATTACAGTTTACAACTTCAAGGTATTAGCATGGCAACCAATAACAACTTTTTGACATTTACCTACCAATAATAATTTTTTTTATAGTGCTAATCTCTGCACTTAAGATTGAACATTAAAACATGTAGAAAAAGTACGAAAAGATTGTCGCCACTGTGGGAATCGAACCCACGTCTTCGGCATTCGCGGTCTGAATCTTTAGCCACTGAGCTAAACGGCTGATAGCCACAGCGACGAAAATCTTAACGCCTACTTTTTACACTGTTATTTAGCATTTGAAGCAATGCTTGGCCCATCTATTGTTATATCCTTTCCAGCATACAAACAATTTCGAATATCGTTTTACAACGATAATTCGAACGAGAGATGTCGCCATTGCTTTTTTTTTATAAATTTTAAAGTTTTTTATAGTGCTAATCTCTGCACTTAAGATTGAACATTAAAACATGTAGAAGCAGTTTAGCTCAGTGGCTAGAGCGTCAGGCCGCGAATGCCGAAGACATGGGTTCGATTCCCACAGCGGCGACAATCCTTTCGTACTTTTTCTACATGTTTTAATTTACCAATAATTCCAAGTTATTTAAATAAACCGTCATCAATTCCATTTTAATTATTTAAATTATAATTTCTTACGTGCTTACATAAATACCCACATACGTTTTTGGAATTTATACTTCTTTAGGCGCGTTATGAAAAAATTGAATGAATGAGAGTGAAATTTTAAGAAGCGTGCGCATCGCTGTAACGCAAAAGTCACACCTCTGAAGCTGCCCTCTAAACCGCTTATTATAGACTAGCTGCAGCCCGCGACTACGTCTGCGCAGAATAGGCTGAAGGCACAACATTCAGACAGAAAGACAGATATACAAAAAATATGTATATAAATTATAGCCTATGTCTTATTCTGATGTATGAACTATATTATTGTAAAGTTTCATTAAAATCCATTCAGTAGTATTTGAGTGAAAGAGTAACAAACATTAGTAAAGATTGCAGCATATTCTCAATCACATTCACCCGTTACAGTCCTAAAGAAAGTAGATGGCGCTTTCATAATTTTATTACTTTTTATATTTATATAATTTTCCAGTCTTTTAATTACTTTATTGTAATATAATTATTTGCATGCAATTAAAACTATTTTTAATGCTGTCAAAGAATTATAAGTTCTCACGCTTATTAACCGGTTCAGCGGACTGCTTCGTTCGTGGCACAGCACTATTTTTCCATTAGCGACTCTATTTCGGCCCTATCAGGTGGGACGCGTCCTCCCTTGCCACCGTAAAAATATATTGGCCACGAATCCACCCCTATTGGGGGGTGCGGCCGCTTGTAAGACATCTCGGTGCAAAAGGTCCCACTTAATTGTGGGTTATCGCTTTTGTGCGCGACTGTATATTGATATTATGGTATAAGAAGCCACCCTAGCCGTTACGATATGTCATAGAGTATTGAAACGCGTATATCTTTTAATAATCGGAATCTCGGAAACGGCTCCAGCGATTTTCATGAAATTTAGTATGTGCGTAGATTCGGGGGCGAAAAATCGATCTAGCTATTTATCAATCCCTGTTTTTAGGGAATGAAAAATATCATTCGAATACGACAGTAAATTTCGCCGCAAAAAAAAAAATGTTATAATAGCTCCGTCGGTAATCGGGCGGCCCCGAAACAGACGGCCGCGGTTCGTATCACGATCATTTACACACTTATGTTTTTTACTTTTTTTTTCTATACCAGATCATTTTCTTTATTTTCATACTTTTTTATTTCCAAAATAATTATTTCCAAATGATTTACCAAAAAAAGGCCTTCCAGGTACTTCCTTCTGTAATAAGATGGTGGAGCAAGGGTGGACCGTTCTCCGATGGTACCATCGTGTCCATTTAAATATTATTAGGGCGGTGGGGCCACGCAACAGTCTTCCCTGTTGTAGGAACTGGCAGGTCAGTGGAATTACCACGATCTGCCCATTCGTTTAGTGAGTGAGGTAGCCGGGGCCCGCTTCATTGAAAGGTGGCAAGGCGTTTGCAACCCTACGGGTGTTGCAAGTATCAGTGGGCGGCGGTTATCACTTGCCACATTCTCACATAAAAACATAACCTTGCTTTATAACGTATTTAAAATACGTAAGTCTAAAAAGTCTTCCCTGACATAGACTATGTATTTTTTTCCTTCTTGTCGTGTGTGCATATGCACATGCAATAAAGAATATACATAATATAGTGAAAAGAAAGCTTTAATAAGTCTGCCTATCCCTTATTAATATAAATGTCTCTGTGTTTTTATCACTCTACGCCAGACCCGAAACCTCCGGCGTCATATAATACACGCGTAAATGCTACCGTTGGGACATAGTACCTATGTTTATTATACACCTTACGCCAAGACGATAAAGTCCACAGTCGCTTAACAAGTTCCCGGTTCAATTTCGCCGGCGGGAATTCGACAACACTGCTGCGTTATTACACTCTATTCTTAATACCTTACGGTTGAATATCGTCTGGCTTTCGTTACTCTATCGATAAAACACGGCGGATCGCAAAGTTTGCACGTCACAACACTAAACGCGCAATCGATAATAGACTTTGTAATACGGCGCAGTGGATGCAAATTGCAATGTTCACGTCGTGTTAAATTAAGGCCATTGTGTTGGCGCTCGTAATTTTTGGTGGATATTGCGACGTCGTTGCGAATTTGGCGCGCGGCTATACTATGGAAAATGCGTTCGGGACGTCCCTTGGGACGAACGGACGTAAACACGATGTGTCGTGTGCAGTGTATTTAAATTATTGCATGTAAATAAACAAGTATTTTTTTTAAATGAGATGTTGCCAAGCGAGCAGGCGAGGTAACCTGATGTTAAGTGAATACCGCCGCCCATGGACATCTGCGACACCCGAGGGTTCCAGATGCGTTGACGACCTTGTAAAAAGAGGGTCCCGGCCACCTCACTCACCAGACGAAACGCAGAACTGTAACGATTCTACCTCACGCCGGTCTTCTGTGACAGTGTAAAAAGTTCGTGTTTATAATATAAGTATGGGTTTTGTCTTTTGTTCCCGTTTGTCTCCGATATAGTAAAGTACCTGGAGGACTCGAGCTTTTCTCGTTTTTTTTTGGTAAATCATGTATTTTGGAAATATAAAAAATAAAGAAAGCAATGATCTGGTATAGAAAGAAAAGTAAAAAAAAATAAGTGTGTAAATGGATCGTGATACGAACCGCGGCCGTCTGTTTCGGGGCCGTTCGATTGCCGACCGAGCTATTATAACATTTTGTTTTGCGGCGAAATTTACCGATAATAATTCATTCCCTGAAAACAGGGATAAAAGGACATTTTCTAAAAATGAAACCTAGCTAGATCAATTTTTCGCCCCCGAATCTACGTACATACTAAATTTCATGAAAATCGCTGAAGCCGTTTCCGGGATTCCGATTATATTATATATATAAGCCTCTCCTTCTAACAGTATGTTTTGTCTCTTTTAAATTCATTCAACCCATTCATATGCTTTGTGACCTTTACAAATGAACTTTACGTTACGCTTTTATAGGTAAGGATGTTCTAAAATTCTTTGTTTTGGAAAATTTAATAACTCTGTAAATATTGATGTTTAAAGATTTTAAATGTTTAATACAACTTTAAAAAGTTATCCCCTATATGTGTGTTCATTTATTGTCGCGATGGTAACGACACGCTGTATATGAGTCGCATATATATATATATATATATATATATATAAAATAAATGTCTAAAGTCGTTAGAGTACTCACAGACGGAGCGCGTCCGGCGGCAGGCGGCGGGGCGTGTGCAGCAGCCCCCGGTGGGAGCAGTCCAGGGCGGTGGGGCGGCACGCGCACGCCCAGGGGCAGACCGCTTGCAGCAGTGGCAGCTGCAGCAGCAGCGCCAGGAGGGGCACCGCGACCCTCATCAGGCTCGATGGCGGCCCGCGCCCTAAGTCATCTGAAACGAAGACGGCCACGTCACTACGATGATCCGACTGACTCCTGAAGATGGTTCTCACTCCACAAGGACGAAAGCAGTGGACCCGATATGGGTATATCGATGGTGGTCACATCCCTACGATAATTGGACATCGTCCTGGTGAACGCCGTGGGACCGTTATCGCCCCCTCGCGGGCGAAATGCGTGACGCGTGTTTTTAATTCTCGAGTGTGATCTATTCTTCTATTAGTAGGGCGACGCAACAGTGTTAGCTGTTGCACGAATGGGCAGGTCCGTCCTGGTAAGTACCACGACCTCGCAGAAGACCTGCGTTTCGTCTGCCGGGGCCCACTAGAGTGAAAGGTGCGGCGCACCTGCAACCATACGATTGTTGCAAATGTCCATGTGTAACACTTAACATTAGCTGAACAGCCATCTCATTTGCCACTATGTCAAACAAAAAAATTACCTTAGTCATCGCGCCACGTATAGAACATAGCCGGTAACGATCCGTTAATATATGCGGTGCTCCGCAATAATGGAATAATAGCAATAGAATGAGACTTAGAAAAAGGAGAAAGCTATAGGTGAATAATGAGGAAGGTAAACACGGGCATGTAGGAATGGTAAACAGACGGATACAAGAAAAGTGAATAAAATCATGGATAAATAATGCGGAAAATAAACAACTTTCCCAAACACGCTTCGATAGTGATTGTTTGAAGTGGTCGTGGCGAGATTTCCGTCTTGTTGTTTCTTTTCCGACTGTTGATGTAATGCAGTGATGGAAACTATGATATATATAGAACATATATATATTATTATATACATATATATATTAGAACAATATTTTTATTATACTCTGAAATTTAATGTACACTTAACGGGCGGTTTACCTGGTGTTAAGCAAAATCAAAATCATTTATTCTTAAGAAACTTATTTCATCTATCGATAGTATATATTTTTTTTATATCTACCACCGTTTCGTTATGAGGTTCCTCTAGCGGAGAAGAAACAGGCGAAAGGAACTCCGTAGGTAACCTCTTTGTTGTAATTCATTTTTTTTTTCTTAAAAAAATTAAAATATTAAACAACTGATTTTTTTTCCTTTTAGAAATATCTTGGGAGCGACCAACTCATTCCCAGCGATTACCCGCACCCATGGACGTGTGCGACACCTGACGGGCTGCTGATGCGTTGCCAGTCGTTATAGAAGTGGGACCCGTTTACCTCACCACCGGTATTCTGCCAGGTCGTGGTACTACCCGGACGGACCTGCCCATTCGTGAAACAGCGAACGCTGGTGCGTGGACCTACCACAGTTGAAAAGGCTTCTGAGGATGCACCGCATTGAATGGGCCACGTCCGAATAGCTATTGAAGTGAAAACCTCTAGACGCGTTGAGCGCTTTTTGGGTGAACAAGTCGACAAATCATGGGACTCGTGTCATCGTCACCGAACACTTTTTAATTATTTTAGTAAGAAAAGAAACGGCCTATAAATGTCCCACTGCTGGGCAAAGGCCTCCTCTGTAAAGAAGGTATCAGGGCATAGTCCACCAGGCAGCGCCACTGCGGATTGGCGGACTTCACATATTCTAGAATTTTTTTTGTTATTATTTCTAAAATATGCAGTTTTCCTCACGATATTTTCCTACACAGCTGAGCGCGTGATAATTAAGCACTTAAAATTAACCATTTCATCGGTGCCGGCACCGGGGATCGAACTCGGGTTGCTCGAGTATATTGAATTAAAGGCAATCGCCCGGACACTGAGCTATCACTGTCCGTGTTTATTGCACGGTACTAATATCTCTCTCAAGAAGAGAAGAGCGTGTGTTTCTTCCAACGCTCCCGAGGGTATTTTCGTCCACACGGCACGAAAGCGTACCTCGGCGTATTGTTACGTACAATTGGGACCACGGGACATACATTGTCCGCCATTCGGGTTCAATGCGGGTCAAGAACGATCCCTCATTATCGAGAGGTCCACGGGACCAACTTCCGCGGGTCAATTGGAGACCGTTTTACTCCTGGTGTGGATACTTCTTTACTGTTATCACGTAATAAACGAATAAATTAATATTTTCGGGGCACATTAATATAACTATTCTCAAAAAAAAAAAATATAATTGAGAAATCCTCATTTTTGATCCTCCTCCATTTTTGAAGTCGCTTAAAATACTATTCTTTTGTAAATATATATATATACAGATATTTATAGATATAGATATTTTAACTGGGCCACGCAACACATCACGTCACCTAGCTAGCTGTCCCATATGGGAATCGAACCCACGAAACTGGGGACGAAGCCGCTACCTCGGCAACTGCGCCACGGCGTCATCATTACATATTCTTTCCGACTTGATCGAAAATAACCGCTTCTCTGACTTTCTCCAGTCGGTAATTGCTCAATAAACGATTGTTTAACATAACAATTGGCTTGATTGGCCAATCGATTTAACTCCGAGGACCATTAAATCATTTCCAGCCAGTAACCCAATACGCGTGGGCAGGGCCGTACGAATTTCCAAATCGATTTACGTATGTAGGTGCCTGGGACGATTAGAGCTCCGAGGTTCCAGGCTCCGTAAAAACGGAACTCGATTTGAAACTTGATCTAAAAGTTCTATGCGAAAAACGTAGTTTGTTTCAGGTACCCCCACAAAACCACTACCTCAATTTTGTTGTTATTATAAGGGTTTCAGTACAAGATATAATGGCATCTTGAAATTACTCCTCTTTTGGATAAGCGTAATCCGCAGCGCGTGGTGGACTATGTCCTGTAACCCTCTTTATTTTACTTAAAAGAAACAATTTGAATTCTTAACATTTTTCGTTAAATAAACGTTTTTTTTTTTCAAAGTCAAAATTTCTTTATTCAACATAGGCTTATTTTAAGCTCTTATTGAACGTCAAAAACTACCACCGGTTCACTAAACTAGATCTGCAAGAGAAGAACCGGCAAGAAACTCTGCGGTCATATATGTATATTTTTTTTAAGTATTCAAGTATACACACAAAATTATTTTAGTATTATTAATATATAATAATTTCTTGTATTTACGCGATTACACATTATAAATGAAACTAATTTTACGGATTTATCGCGTTTATTTTTAATTTTAATTCCCGACGTTTCGAACCCTTTACAGCGTTCATGGTCACGGGACAGACTGAGGTGTTAGACGTCTGATTGTCATAGTTAACCCGGGCTACCGTCAGTTTTTGAATTATTAATTTTGTGTCCGATCTATGCAGAGGGAGCTAATTGTATCTTGTCTTGCAGTAGTGGTTCGTTTGGGCCTAGATTTAATTTTATTGATGACAGGATCCCAAGCTGATGGTAGTACCCAACCTTCTTCTCTATTGAAATTAGGGTGTTTTTTAATTTCAATAGCCTCGCGAATCATCCTTGGGAGGAATCGGTGTTCTTTTGCAAGGATCTGTGGTTTGTCAAACCTGATGTAGTGGTTGGGCCTATTCAAAATGTGCTCACAAACTGCAGACTTGTTCGATCTATTGTGTTTTATGTCAGCTATATGTTCTTTCACGCGGGTTTTTATTGCTCTTTTCGTTTGACCTATGTAAGAGAGCCCACATTCACAGTCAAGTTTGTACACTCCTGGATCTTGCAGAGGGATATTACACTTGACAGATGGTAAAAAAACTGACTAATCTTCTTCAGCGGCTTGTAGAATGTATTAATTGAAGCCTGCTTTAAGATATAGCCAATCTTGTCGGTGACTCCTCTATCTGACGTATGGTAGAACAGCAGGTACTCGCTCCACTGTGGCTGGTTTCACTCGGTCACTGTGACGTAGGCGCGGTGCTCGAAGCTTGTTGTCATGCAGAACTTGCTTGACATGTTGAAGCTCAGCGGCCAGGTGTTGTTTGTCACAGATCCCTTGTGCTCTCTGAAACAAAGATTTACCCACGGTAGCTAACTGTGATGGATGGTGGTGAGAAATCACCGTTTAGGTATCTATTTGTATGGGTTGCCTTCCTATACACAGTGTGACTTACAGTGTTATTTGGATTGCGGATGACCAAAACATCTAAGAAAGCTAAAGAGTTATTATGCTCTAATTCCATAGTGAATTGTATTTTGGAATTTACTGAGTTAAGGTGATTTAGAAATGCATTAACTTTACTTGTTGGTAAAATGGTGAAGGTGTCATCTACATACCTCTTGTAAAACCTTGGATAAATGGGAGCTGTGCGAAGGGCCTTCTCCTCAAAGTCTTCCATAAATATGTCAGCGACAATGGGAGATACGGGCAGCCCATTGCTACACCATCTATCTGTATGTAAAATTCCTCCTTCCAAAGCAAATAGCCGGATGTTAGGCAATGTTTAAGTAGTAATGCATACTCTTCCGGCATGTTATTCTCTTTTAGCTTTCTTGTTACAATTGAGATGCAGTCTTCTAATGGTAGGCATGTAAATAAAGACTGTACATCAAAACTGACCATTGTTTCATTGTCAGCAAGACATAGTTGTTTTATCTCACTAACAAAATGGTAAGAATCCTTTGTGTATGCCCTTGTGTGTCCTCTCAGGGGTGAGAGAATTCGTACTAGATGTTGAGCCAGTCTGTAGGTTGGTGAGTCGATCTGGCTTACAATAGGGCGTAATGGTATGTCTGGTTTGTGTATTTTAGGCAACCCATACAATTTAGGGGGTTTAGCACATGAAGGCTATTTGCTTTGGAAGGAGGAATTTTACATACAGATAGATGGTGTAGCAATGGGCTGCCCAGTATCTCCCATTGTCGCTGACATATTTATGGAAGACTTTGAGGAGAAGGCCCTTCGCACAGCTCCCATTTATCCAAGGTTTTACAAGAGGTATGTAGATGACACCTTCACCATTTTACCAACAAGTAAAGTTAATGCATTTCTAAATCACCTTAACTCAGTAAATTCCAAAATACAATTCACTATGGAATTAGAGCATAATAACTCTTTAGCTTTCTTAGATGTTTTGGTCATCCGCAATCCAAATAACACTGTAAGTCACACTGTGTATAGGAAGGCAACCCATACAAATAGATACCTAAACGGTGATTCTCACCACCATCCATCACAGTTAGCTACCGTGGGTAAATCTTTGTTTCAGAGAGCACAAGGGATCTGTGACAAACAACACCTGGCCGCTGAGCTTCAACATGTCAAGCAAGTTCTGCATGACAACAAGCTTCGAGCACCGCGCCTACGTCACAGTGACCGAGTGAAACCAGCCACAGTGGAGCGAGTACCTGCTGTTCTACCATACGTCAGAGGAGTCACCGACAAGATTGGCTATATCTTAAAGCAGGCTTCAATTAATACATTCTACAAGCCGCTGAAGAAGATTAGTCAGTTTTTACCATCTGTCAAGTGTAATATCCCTCTGCAAGATCCAGGAGTGTACAAACTTGACTGTGAATGTGGGCTCTCTTACATAGGTCAAACGAAAAGAGCAATAAAAACCCGCGTGAAAAGAACATATAGCTGACATAAAACACAATAGATCGAACAAGTCTGCAGTTTGTGAGCACATTTTGAATAGGCCCAACCACTACATCAGGTTTTGACAAACCACAGATCCTTGCAAAAGAAACACCGATTCCTCCCAAGGATGATTCGCGAGGCTATTGAAATTAAAAAACACCCTAATTTCAATAGAGAAGAAGGTTGGGTACTACCATCAGCTTGGGATCCTGTCATCAATAAAATTAAATCTAGGCCCAAACGAACCACTACTGCAAGACAAGATACAATTAGCTCCCTCTGCATAGATCGGACACAAAATTAATAATTCAAAAACTGACGGTAGCCCGGGTTAACTATGACAATCAGACGTCTAACACCTCAGTCTGTCCCGTGACCATGAACGCTGTAAAGGGTTCGAAACGTCGGGAATTAAAATTAAAAATAAACGCGATAAATCCGTAAAATTAGTTTCATTTATTATTAATATATTTAGTATAATTTAGCAGGAGCCAGGGGACTTGCAAGTGCAGAGCAAGAGTCATTTCCACACATCCTTGTCCTCAATGTATTCCTCGACATTATAATAAGCCCTTTCCCCATTAAGGTGGCTTTTACAAAATGTTTGAAATATAACTCTGATAGCGACATTCCCTTTCTTAAGGTGACCGGCTTTAGTTTGTAGACACGCTCCGAACCAGATGGCTCCATATCAGGAGCAGGTCTCCCGGAGATCTTCGACCTTTGGCACTACCATGCGCCGCCCGTAATGCACACGGCAGACCGTCTGTAATGATAAAACTGGGACAGCACTCAAGATGCCCGCCCGGTAGCCATTTGTCTGTTATCTCGCGGGCACTCAGGCATCGGGTCGTGACGTCCCGAAGTCTATTCCGGGCCGCTGTAGCCGCGGTGGCTCAGTGGACCATTCGCTCAATTCGGTATACAGTCGAATACGACACCGTTGAGGACACAGTTGACCGGTAGTTGTTTCATGCAATCGTAGGCTCTGATTCTTTAGGTGACGCAGCGATGGTTATGCGAAATTGTCACTTGTCTACCCACTTGTTAGACTTGATTGCTTTTATAAATGCCCCACTAGTACTAGTCTATGACGGGTTTAACACGACCAATTTGTTTAATTTATTTTCGTGGTGCACTCGACTTTAACAAATGAAAGCTTAACTAAAATCAAATAACTTGTTAATTATGTGATGTTTGAATTTAATTAATTAAAGAATTTAATGCTTATTTTATAAACCAATTCTATACAATTGTGCGTTATATAATTTAAGTTATAAAATTGTTTTTATTCAAAGTAATCTCAATAATGCAGGTATGAATATAAAAACGTAACGTATAAGTCGCTCAATATTTCTTACACTACGTTCTTTTAATTTTTTCGCGTTTAATATACACGTACATTGTCGACTTAGGAGGTATTGACTGTAAATAGGACTGCACGGC